CTGAAGCTATATCATAAATGGTCATCGGTCTTGGATTAGATACAATCCAATCATCACAGGCTGCATTGTAATAACGTTTCAGTGGCCCATAAACTGACTGATCTAATGGCTGCAACTTGTGTCTACAATGTGGTGGAAAGGACAGCATAATTATGCCATTTTTTTTAGCTAAATCTAAACACACAATTGAAACATGGCTCTCATGGTTGTCAAGAAGTAAAAGCACAAAAATGTGAAATGTTCACAAGCTGGATTAGCTTGTGAACATTTCACATTTTGAATAAAATGTTTCATCCACTCTAAAAAGGTTGCAACATTCATCCAACCAGATGGGTTTGCAACCCCAACACATCCAGGTGGACCACCATTTATCATAATTCCTTTGAAATGAACTCTTGGAAAAATAAAAAATGGAGGGATTGAGTTTCCTATTGCATTAACTGCACAACAAACTGTTACCAATGTCCCTCTTTCTGCTGAAGTTATCCTTTCAACTTGTTTATCTCCTTTTTTAGCAATTACTTTAACTGGTTTTTGAACAGTTGTGAGACCTGTCTTATCAACATTATATATGTTTTGTGGCTGAAACTTGCGTCATAGACGAACATCTTTTAGATTGGTGAAAAATTCTATAACTGTATAACAATTAAAAGCAGTTGCTCGCGCCATACTAGTTGCTTCTGGATTTCGTAAAGATAACTCATTCCTACATAACATAAAACCACGAAGCCACTGTTTCCCAGCAATTTGTAAACTTTTCCACGAGTTAGGAATGCGCTTAGAAAGAGTCATTGCAAATTCATAGGCAAGTTTTCGTGTTGTTTTGGTTGACAATCCATAGTGAAGTTTTGAGGCCCTTAAAAGATAATCTGATAAAGATGTTTTTTCTTCGTTGGTAAAGATTTGCATGGTAATGAAGTTAGGTTTGCAGACTATATTTGGATTTAATTGTCATTTTCTTACATATCTCTTAAGTGTCATTAAATTGATTCCCCTCTCTTTAGATACAGGATAAACTGTACCACCATTAAGAACTGCATTAACAGCTGCTCGCATTTCATTCTCATTAACTTTACCTCTAGGTGGTCTATCGTTTTTTTTTTTTTATGATACACCATATTTAACTGTAAAAAAATGAAACATATTCATATAGTTTTGCTATATTCCTAATTTTTGGATAAACATTTATAAAGATTTTTACTTACTAAAATCTTCTTTATTAACAAACACACACAGATATATATATATATATATATATATATATATATATATATATATATATATATATATATATATATATATATATATATATATATATATATATATACATATATATATATATATATATATATATATATATATATATATATATATATATATATATATATATATATATATATATATATATATATATATATATTGAATACTTTACAATTATATTATATAAAAGTTTTAGGAGAACAAAAAAATACAAAATAGTATAAAATTTTCATTTCAAGGCTTTATTTTAGCAAAAATATATTAAAAAACAATGGCGTATTGTACATGTTACTTTAAAAGTTAAACATTGTGCGTGTGTGTGTATGCACCTTTGATCATAGGATCAAAGGTGCATAAACGTATTAGGATCAAGGGTGCTAACCCGCTCCATTTTTACAGAAATTCTTTTTTTGTCATATTAGATGCTTCTATAGCTTACGAAAAGCAACCATACAAGAGGGGAATAGTTAAGTTACAAAATGATATAAGCAAAATTATTCAACTTAAAAAAATATTAAAGATGTGAGGTTCCTTGTAAAATTATAAAAATTACTTTTTGTCGCCAAAATCAAAATATTTAGAAATAAATTTAATAGTGGTCTATTCTTTAACCAAAACACAATTAATTTTGACGATACAACATTTAAAACACGCTGGTTATCAGCCCTCTTTAATAAGTTATGTAAGTATGGAGATAACGCTATAGGATCAAAGGTGCTTATGGATCAAGGGTGCAAGTTCTCCCCTACACTGATTAGTTTATAATAAAAAAGTATATTTTTCCTAATATATGTTCGGATTTTGGTTCTTAGTTTGCCGTGTCGTGAAAAACAGCTAATTTTGAGTTGATTTCATATTCATCTTTAATGATACAGATCGTATTTTATTATATTTTTGGCGCTGATCAATTAATGTATGCAGCGCTGAAGTAGAGTAGAAAAAAAAAGAACACCAAAAAAGGACCCCATGCTTTCCCAGAACATATTTTAATCTCAGGGGAGAAGGGGTGTGATTGAGAAATACTTCGAATTTCGTTAAAATTCTGTATCAAATTTATTCCTGGTTAACGCCCTGAATGTCAAATACTAGTATAAAAATCAACAACATTAGTTTTTCTCGGTAGGCATTCATTATTTATTTTTATTCAAAAAAACTTGGTTCAAACCTTTCTTTTTAACATTATCTTTAATATGAACACAACATATGTTGGGAGTTTGGGATCCCATTAAATTGTAAACAT